TCATGCGATTTTTAAATGGTGCTTCCCAAATCCCACCAGCCCCCCCTCCCTCATAAAAAATGAACGGTCCCTAAATAAAAACGGAGAGTTACACCACTTCCAGTTCATTTAAGGGGACCCCACCAAACCGGACTGAACGATCAAAATTAGACCTCATCACACACCTGGAAGATAAAAATTCTAGCGGTATATACTCGTATAACGTATATGCGTTAGTCCCTCTGGGCCTTGTGCAAATACTACAAGGTACTCGAAGATGGAGCTGACAAATCCCCTTACAGAGGAAGCGCTATAGTATGGCCATCTACGGGTCACATTACCAGACTGCTTCTAAAGACCCAGTAGCGAGTATCCGCACGCATTAACAAGTTAGTGAAAAAAGATAAAAAAAAAAGACTTTAACACTAAAACTTCAGTGTTTGTCTTTGCTGCATGTTCTGCATGGGATATCACCACTTCATGATTTTTTTCTTCTCGAGTTGTCTGAAATAGCCGAAATTTCAACCAACTTTGGGTGAGTTCAAAACAAGACTCCCCAAGCAGCGAGGGCGGACTCGATCAGCGGTTAGAGGAAAGACGTCAACAGGCCAACAAAGCACTTTTTGTTTTTAATCGTTTTTGTGTATTAGTGCAGCTGTAAATGTTGCGGAAATTAAGACCAGTTGACACAGCCTTGCTGCTATCTGACACGCGGGTATCAGAGCATTTCACTTGGGTGCAAAGTTCAATTCTCGTTGTTGCCTCACATACATGCAACCTCGTTCTTCATGAAAACTCTCAAATAGTTGAATTGTCTATACAAACAACATTGAATTAACGTAAAATTATCAGCAACTAATTTGGATACAATTTCGTTGCATGAAAGGGGTTTTGAGGAAGACACTAATAAGAGGTGAGAAAGAGGTAAAAAGCATGTTTGTACATTGAATTAGTTTTGTTGAGAGCAAAAGTTACAACAAGAAAGTTAATTGAATAAGCTCAAAGTCAAGAAGCTAGTAAAGTATACTATCGGTACTTGTTGACACAATGTTTTAGATCTAAAAAAAACGCCTATTATGTCTTAGAAAAGAGGTAGATATTTTAAAGACATGCCTCGTCAGAGCTAAACGTATGAGAAGCACATACAGAATGTTCACAGCCCTCTACACAGTTTTCTCGTATGTTTTTTCGATCGTTGCACGCGCGGATAGAATCGTAAGAGAAGTGGACGCTCGCTTCGCTGCCTCCCCGCTCCCACCCCGTCGTAAAAAATGTTTTAAAATTGAATGCGTCAAAGCTTGTAAAGATAGCCGGTTTACATTATTTCAGTTCATTTATACAGTTGCTAGGTTTTGGGCAGTGGAAGTGAATAACCGCCATATTCCTTTATTTCAGAAAGGCCTGGCTACCAATGCACCGCTTGCTTGGTTACTCAGCTCTTGGCGTTGACGGCAAAGGATACAAACCATCCTCTTCAAAATCAGAACTGGCAGTTCACTCTGATCTTAACCTGATGCTTACAAGTTGTTATTCAGTGCATTTTTATTACAAAATCCAACCGTAGCCTCATTATCTCCTCTCCAGGGCTCTCACTGACTTTTGTTCCATGATAAAGTACAACCTCGTCCTGAGGGTATACACCTCGGCCTTTTTCAAAATGTCGGCGATAGCAGTTATTTGAAACATCAAACATTCATCATCTATAAATAATATCCGTAGGAGATTGAAGCATTTTATCCCATCATACACTAGTTATAGCTTAGTTAAGTAAGAAGTACAACTAAAATTATTATTACTGTAATTACACATATGATATCTAATAATTATATTGTCATTCATCCGTAAATGCTGATCTAATTGATACCTACTGAATGAATATATAGTTATTACGTAGATTATAAGTAACATTTAGGGAGACTACGTGTAATAAAAGACTACAAGGGTTTTACTCTTCCTCCCAAACTAGCTTTATATGCAGCATTTCAGGTTTCAGTATGTACTTCCAATTATGGAAAATAAACATTCATTCATTCATTCATTCATTCATTCATTCATTCATTCATTCATTCATTCATTCATTCATTCATTCATTCATTTTATTGGAGGTTGAGATAAAGCGAAAGCAACTTAGGCAGGAGCCTGGCGAAGACCAGCGAGCAGGCAAGAATAGGTGAACACGCGCTTTGTAATTATTATCTTTAATAGCGACATCACATCTACGTCACAAACGTAAATGATTGACGCGTTGTTGCCTTCAAAGCAAGTTGCCTTTGTGGTGCGGTGAGAGTGACAGGAGATATTTATCGAGAGCAAAACATTACAAAAGCTACTTCAGCTAATGCGAGCATGGGAAATTTGAAAACTTTCGTCTTGACTTGTCTTGGAATTGGACTAGCCGCTGGAGCAGGCTTTTATCTCTACAGGAAATTTACCAGTGCAAATGGAGATGACCAAAACACTGAAAACTCTACTTCACAGGTAACGGCGAAAATTTACAAACAATAAAACAAATCTGAATCATTGAAACGCGAAATTGAAACACTAGACGAACGTATTACAACGCCCACAAACAAGACCTAAGGAGCAATAATTAAGAAGCGAGCTTTTATCTGTTTGTTTGCGTTTATCGTGCGCGCAACTGAGAAATTATCAATCACATAGATTTTACATTTGACAATTGCTTCACCAAGTACTGAACAACTTTGCTTGCAGAGTGCCACACAGGAAACATCAGATGATGATTATCCTACAAAAGAAGACTTGGGTGATGTTTCTAAAGACGGCACCACCACGGTCTTTTCAAATGAAACTCAGATCGAGGTACAACGGATCAAGAAAGATACATCAAGTCTGCAAAATGGCGTCGAGAAACAACAAGAGGACGCGACACGAAATCCAACCGAGAGTCAGAAAATCGCTGACAAGAAACATCAGACTAAGAAGTCAAATTTTGGTGGAATGAAGAAAGGATTCCTTCTATAAACTGAAATATTTTTCAAAAAACACAAAAAAACAAAACCAAAGAAACCAACAAAATTGACAAACACTTTACTGTAATATGTAACTAGATATTTATTTAGGATGGACTTTTTCTAGCAATGACATATTTGTTATATATAAAGAAAATACGCCTTATAAACTGAAACTTAATGTTTGTCAAAAAAACAAAAAGAAAACATTCAAAGAAAGCAAAAAACGAAAAAAAAATTCTCTGTTATTTTTAGTTAGACACTGTTTAGGGTAGGTTATTATTAGTGATATCTTTTTTTATTAATAAAGGCAACTTATGTAGAAATGATCATTGGGCTGAGCAGTTTAGTCTGTGTTGATNATGGGAAATTTGAAAACTTTCGTCTTGACTTGTCTTGGAATTGGACTAGCCGCTGGAGCAGGCTTTTATCTCTACAGGAAATTTACCAGTGCAAATGGAGATGACCAAAACACTGAAAACTCTACTTCACAGGTAACGGCGAAAATTTACAAACAATAAAACAAATCTGAATCATTGAAACGCGAAATTGAAACACTAGACGAACGTATTACAACGCCCACAAACAAGACCTAAGGAGCAATAATTAAGAAGCGAGCTTTTATCTGTTTGTTTGCGTTTATCGTGCGCGCAACTGAGAAATTATCAATCACATAGATTTTACATTTGACAATTGCTTCACCAAGTACTGAACAACTTTGCTTGCAGAGTGCCACACAGGAAACATCAGATGATGATTATCCTACAAAAGAAGACTTGGGTGATGTTTCTAAAGACGGCACCACCACGGTCTTTTCAAATGAAACTCAGATCGAGGTACAACGGATCAAGAAAGATACATCAAGTCTGCAAAATGGCGTCGAGAAACAACAAGAGGACGCGACACGAAATCCAACCGAGAGTCAGAAAATCGCTGACAAGAAACATCAGACTAAGAAGTCAAATTTTGGTGGAATGAAGAAAGGATTCCTTCTATAAACTGAAATATTTTTCAAAAAATCACACTCACAAAGAAAACAAAACCAAAGAAACCAACAAAATTGACAAACACTTTACTGTAATATGTAATTAGATATTTATTTAGGATGGACTTTTTCTAGCGATGACATCTTTATTATATATAAAGAAAAATACGCCTTATAAACTGAAACTTAATGTTTGTCAAAAAACAAAACAAAAAAAGAAACATACAAAGAAAGCAAAAAACGAAAAAAAAAATCACTGTTATTTTTAGTTAGACACTATTTAGGGTAGGTTATTTCTAGTGATATCTTTTTTTATTAATAAAGGCAACTTATGTAGAAATGATCATTGGGCTGAGCAGTTTAGTCTGTGTTGATCCTCCAGAGTCCTGTCGGTCTCCAGGGTTCGGTTCTAGCGTTGTGTATCAGAAAGGGTGTTAGAACCTAGTGGTCTCAAACTTCCTTAACAAAATCAGCCCAGTTTACTTTCGATTTATTTCCCTATATTCATAGCCCACGAAAAGTGAGGAACTTCTTCAGTCCTGACTTGTGGCTTGCCTCCACAGAAAGTAAAATATCTTCCATGTAGCCTCTTACGGTTTTATTCATTGTTGATGGTTGATTACGTAAGTTAACTAAAATAGTTTTAGGAAAACGTTCACCTACATGTGATGTATTGTGAAGCCAGAGGAAGGAGTTTCTCACGGTTTGTGCGCTTTGACTATAGGCAAATAAACCGAAAGTAAACCAGTGGGTATCAAACTTCCGTAGTCGAAATTAGCCCAGTTTATTAAGAAAGTTTTGTTAACACTTGAATGAACATCAGTTGCTTCCTGACAGCAAGGTATGTCCACATTTCTTTCATTTAGCTCCAACAACCTCTTCCCCAGGAAGACTCCCCCTTCAAATGTGAGGAGGGCTGGGAATGAAGTTCAAGTCGCAAATAAAGTGAGATCTAAAGGTGATATTCACATCCTTTATCGCCGTTTGCGTCACTTTCACGTGATCTTTTGTCCTCTGTATTCATTTTAGATTATTTAATTGACTTAGCTCAGCAAAGTTTAAGGCGTTTAGCCGCAAAATCATGTTCATTTTCAGCTTGCGTTCCTCTGGGATGATGCTTTATTGACCAAGCTTGTTCAGTCAAGATGGCTGGATGTTGGCTTCGTTCCGTTTTTGCGTGTTTATGGAGCTCGACTTTGTCTCGGTCAATAACCCATATATATCAGTAGTAGTCTGCATAAAGACTGAGACCGAATGTGGGAGTTAAAATTGATATTTTACAAATGTGAAACAATAGCTTATTTGCTTTTAAGCAAAACTATGCTTTTATGCAAATGTTAATTTTAGCTAAAAAATAAGAAAAAAATACTCATAACTGTGAAACATAAGGGATCAGCATTTACCGCGTAAATTTCAGCAAACAAAGGAAAAAGCGACCAAAGTAACTTTCATGATCAAAAACGGAAGGCTTCAGCTTGACGAGAAATGTTTTACGTGCGTAAACTGTGAGTAATTAGTCATGAGCATTAAATTTAACAACGCCTAATTCCCGATGGACTTTCGCCATTTGAATAGGGCTGTTAACATACGATTTACTCGTAAAAATTGCTTGCTTTCAACCGTACATTTAAGCGACATTCAGGTTTTTGAGGCCAAGAATAGTGAAATTTAACTACGTTCTAAACAAGAATTCTTAGTATCAATCTTCTTTCTTCGGCATTCAGCACCCAGAAACAATTAAAGAACCTTTTAAAATCTGGAATCATAATTTTCGCAATAAGCCATCCCACCCAACGGCTCTCGGAACCCAACGGCACACCATTTCAAACCAAGATAATACATGAACAAAAACAAGATATTTTTGAGGAAATTCTTTGTTCTAAAAGAGCAAATTGCTTGTTCACATTCAAAAGCAAGTTTTTGCTGAATGCGTTTGGTTTCCGTAGAGTTCATGTGCAACATACCAAGTTCCAGGCAGAACAGAGAAGAAAAGATTGATTTGTTTTTTTTTTTTACAAAATAAGATACAATAGCCTTATTATTTTTTAATATAGAAATGTTAATTTTAGTCCATCAAATAATCACATCAAACTCATTAACGAGAAACACGACTGGTTAGCTGTTTACCGTCTCAGCTTTATCCCTAGGAAGGAAACTGGAGCGCCTAAATTTTTTTGAACTTTCGTAATCGAAAACTGAAGGCTCCAGCATTCACTCGTAATCATTTTATGAATTCTCGGGCGAGAGAACGCGAAGGCATGTATTTAACAATTATTCACGCAAAAAGAGGTGAATATAATAGTCTTAGATGTTTACCTGCGATTCACCGACACTGAGATGAATAATTGTTTTAGTATACATTGTATGTTTTCCACACAGGCTGGACAACTAGCGGACAAACTGAAAACTACTTCCTCTGTGAAAATAAACCGACAATAGACCGACAGATGGTCGGAAATTTCAAACTCTACGCTCACTCCGAGCAAACCACTTAGCACTTATGAAAAGCACGAGCTGGTCGACCACAAGTTACCGCCAAACATCGCCTAATTTTTTTCAAAGAAAAGAAACTGCAGGAGCGCCCCAATTAACTTTCATGATTAAAAACTGCGAGTTTCAGCTTTTAATTGTGGTTAATTAACTCTCGTCCGAGAACATGAAGAGAAATGGATTTTCGTGCGTAAACTATGACTGGATACTGTAAATTACATTAGTCAATTCAAATGCATTTACTAGCTCCATATTTCCGATTTGCTTTAGGTTTTTAGTTGAACAGCCTTGTTTCATCTTTTTTTTTTTAAATTGCTGGCTTACAGCTTTATAATTATAGCAAAGCGCCAACCCGGTTTCAAGAGGCCAAGAATAATCCGCTGAAGTTAAAGTTAATACTTACAGCCATTCAATAGTTTGATTACTTACTGTTATGCAGATGTAAATTTTAGTCGATAAAATTATCATCATCAATGGTATTTAGTTGAAACACAAATACATCAGAAGTCAAACTGTCCACACGGACGGCTTCGTATTCGCGGATCGAGCAACACGAGCAAGCGAGAACGGTTGAGTTAATCCAGAAAACATGAATTACACCTCAATCAACAGCACATCAATCAGTTGTGGTCCACAAATTCCATCTCTTCCTATGCCGATTTCCGAGAGATTTTTTCCGGAGTTTCGCGCTGTATTCATCTTCAGAATCGCCATTAATGCTATAAGCGGTCCTTTTGTCATTTTGCTGAACATCCTAGTGATGATGGCAGAAAAAACCAAACGACAGCTTCGCACCAAATCTAATGTATCCGACTCGCCTGTTTAGCCAAAATTGACCTTGTTGTTGGACTTGTACATGTTGTTCAACCTCTTCAAATCGTACACTTTAGCTTTATGCTCAAAGGTGAGACTGACATGATTTTCAGCAGGCTAGCTAAGATAACAATGGTTATTACCTCATGGTGTGTCATAGCGTCGCTTAATCATTTCGTTTCATCGTAGAGCGTTATCTCGCTGTAAAACACTCTTTCGCTTACGAGAACATGGCTACTGATGTTCGTATCATCACAGCTTCTGGTCTGGCGTGGGCTGCCGCGATCATCCTTCCAACAGGAGACTTCTGGCCAGCAAATGTACAATTTGCCCCAAATTTTATAGTA